AGAAGGGTTATATTTATATTATTGTTATGTATTAAGGTATTTTATGTTATAAGGAAATATCTTTATTGACATTTTTTTTCTATAATCAATTTTACACTATCTCAACTCTGTGCTGAGTCCCTGTGATCATGTCCACCAGCAGCTCGAGCTATAGCATATCTCATACCTCATGTACGGTTTTGACGAAACGAAACATCAAATCTTATAAATGAATGTAAATCCAAGTCTTCAAGTCAAGATTAAAGTGACCTTGACCTTTCATGACCAACCTCACAATTTAAATGACTTTGGTCAAAAAGTTATCTACATGTATTAATTGGTTGGACAATTTTTTGTTTAAAGTTTAAAGTTACACTGGCCTTGACCTTTGGCCATCTAATATCAAGTGTATATATATATATATATATATATATATATATATATATATATATATATATATATATATATATATATATATATATATATATATATATATATATATATATTATTATATAGATATCATTCACTAATCATGACTTTCATGTATGGAAGTTATCCAGCAAGGTTTGTTTTACTCGGGTGCTTTTCTTGCATGAAAAAAAGAATAAAGGGGCACCTCAGGTCTTCCTTCTTCACCTTCAAAGCTCAAAGTCACCGAAAGAACTATGGTGCGACGTTTAACCTATCCGAAACAAGATTGCATTTGAGAAAAATGCTATGCCACCGCATTAAAACAACACTAAATAGTAGTGTATGAACAGATTTTTGTTGTTTCTATACAATTTTGAAGATTGTCATAATGCATAGATCCCTGACCTATCTATAATTCTTATTATCAAATTAGTGGTTAAATATGTTGTTAACTCAATAAAAGATCAGAGTAGGAATATATATCAGTGCAATCAAATCTATTGAATTTGGTGGTAAAGGTCATATTTCACACAGCCTAAATTTCATGACTACATCAAGAGACAACACAATAAGACCCTTTGTCAAAATCTAGGTCAGCTGATATCAAAGTTCATTTTACATCTAAATCTGTGCACATGGTTCAAATTTCATAGCTGTACAACAAAGGAAAAGAAAGTAAGTCACATCATCGAAATCTAGGTCACCTGATATCAAAGTTAAATTTAAAACTAAAACTGTGCACATGGTCAAAATTTCATCAAAGGACAAGAAAGTAGGTCACTGTCCCCTTGGGCAAGGCAAAATTTTGGACCCAAGGTGTTAATTAAAAAAATCTTGATACATGCCCACCAAACAACATTTCAAGTCAAATATCTAAGCTGTAACTTTCTTCCATTCAGAAAGCATTTGTTTTATTTTCTGTTTTTACTATGTGTAAATAATGAGAATCACAAATTTTGACACCAGAGGGAAATTTTGAACAACTTTGGTAGAGGACCTATAGATGATATTATATAGCAAAAATCAAAGTTCTATGCCTTGTACCGTCAGACAAAAACAATTTTTATTTTTTGACTATATGTACATAATGAAAATCAATTACCCCGGGGCGGAACAAATTTTGACCCCAGGGCTATAATTTGAACAATCTTGGTAAAGGTTCACTTCGCAAAGTCTCATGCCACATATCTAACCACTAGCCTTTGTAAATTTAGAAAAGAAGATTTTTCAATTCAGAGAAAAAGATATTTCAAGTTTTTACTTTATACAGGTAAGGAAAACTATCGCCTCTGGGGCAGGGCAATTTTAACAATAGGGGCATAATTAAAAGAACGTTAGTAGAGGACCCATAAATGATATTATATACCAAATATCAAAGCTCTAAGCCTTGTACCTTTAGACAAGAAGATTTTTATTTTTTTACTATATGTACACAGTGAAAATCAATGACCCCTGGGGGTGGGGCCAATTTTGACCCCAGGGCTATAATTTGTATAATCTTGCTAGAGGTTCACTACATAATGTTTCATGCAGAATATCTAAACTCTAGCCTTTGTAAATTTAGAGAAGATGATTTTTTAAGTTTTTATTATATATAAGGAAAACCTATGGCCCTCGGGGCGGGGCTAATTTTGACACTAGAGGCAAAATTTGAACAACTTTGGTAGAGTACTTATAGGTGTTATTATTTAACAAATATTAAAGCTCTAAGCCTTGTACCTTCACACAACAAGCAATTATCATAGTATTGCAAGCAATCCATAAGTCCCCTACCGGTTAGAACCCCAGCAACATTCTGAAGGGCCATTGGCAATTCACTTATGTTTTTATTTTAAGTAAATTTGTTGAAAAAGTTCTTTAAAAGTGATCACAGGAAACAGTTTTTATGTACAGACAGACGGACTGAAGCACACTCTACAGTTATTTTTTAAACATCCCTGTTATCAAAATATAACATTTTTAAAGCAAAATTTTAAAAAAGGAGATAACTCTTGAAATAAAGATGCAAGATGTCATACATGATGTGAGTGTAACAAAGAACAATAAGTGAAGTATAAATAATGAATGTTTATTTTGAATTTGAAGTAAATGAAAGTTAAAAGAACGAATAAGAAAAATTAAAAGTTTAAGGAGGAGATAATTCTGGAAATATGGATGCTAGATTTATAAACCTTGTCATATTATTATGATGTGGGAGTTTGAAGAAAATCCTATAAGTAATGATCGAAGCAGTTGGAGTAAAAATAACCAATTTCTCTAGAAAAAGTCTAAGTTCAAAAGGGGCATAATTCTGGAAATAGTCTTGCTAGAGTATTGAACTTTCTCACAAATGTTGAGTGATAATAAGAAAAATATATATGAAGTTTGAAGTAGATACATTCAGAAAAAAAGAAGTTATTAAAAATTTTTTTTTTCATGAAAATTTTAAGTTCAAGGGAGCTAATTCTGATAAATTTTGTGCTAGAGTTGTAAACTTTGTCACATATGATGTGGTTGATGACTAGCAACTTATATTTAAAGTTTGAAGAAAATACCTTAAGAAATAAAGAACTTATAGTGAAAAAAACTTAAAAACTAGAATCAGAAATCTTGAAATTCAGTCTATTTGTTGCCATAGCAACCAGAATTTTCAACATAGGAAGATAAGAGAAGTATGTGCATAATTTCCATACTGCCATCTACCCATATGTCAAGTTTCATAAAAAATATTTTCAGTACTTTTTGCATTATCACTGGATCCAGGTTATGTGTAAAATTTGCCATATTTTCAGTCTATTTGTTGCCATAGCAACCAGAATTTTCAACATAGGAAAAAAAGAAAAAGACGTGCATAATTCCCATACTGCCATCTATCCATATATCAAGTTTCATAAAAATATTTTCAGTACATTTTGCGTTATCGCGGGATCCAGGTTATGTGTAAAATTTGGCATATTTTCAGTCTATTTGTTGCCATAGCAACCAGAAGTTTCAACATAGGAAGAAAAGAAAAAGACGTGCATAATCTCCATACTGCCATCTATCCATATATCAAGTTTCATAAAAATATTTTTAGTACTTTTTGCGTTATCTCGGGATCCAGTTTTGTGGACGGACGGACTGACGGACGGACAGACGGACGGAGTGTAAACCTAAAGTCCCCTCCGGAAATTGGTAGGGGGGGACTAATAAAAATTTTTACTGTATGTATATATTGAAAATCAATGACCCCCGGGGCGGGGGAAATTTTGATCCCAGGGCTATAATTTGAACAATCTTGCTAGAAGTTCACTTCACAATGTTTTATGCAAAATATCTAACATCTAGCATTTGTCAATTGCTAGAAGATTTTTTAAAAGTTTTTACTATAAGTTTATACTATATACATATAAGGAAAACCAATGACCCCGGGGCGGGGTATATATCTCATATTTAAATCCTGGTGCGAAATCAAAATGTAAAAATCTTCGCGATGATTAAAGCAGCACACCTCCAGATTCATGCTAATTTTCATGAAAATTTTGAAAATGTATTTGAATGTTTAACATAAAGGAAGCAAATTACACATTATCAATGGCACTTACAGCTCACGTAAATTACCAAAAAGTGGTCAAAATATGCAAAAATATGCCTTACTGCGTTAGTAACGCAATATAAATATAGTTGTGAATACTGAAAAATCTGTCCTTAACCGCACATAACTTGTATAACATGTACATTGTATTACTTGAATCTTGCATCATTTTACTTTTCCTTATATTATAGTACACATTTCTGATGTTTGATTTTATTGAAATATTTTGACTAATCTTTAGACAAGCAGCTTTAACCTTAATTTTCGCATGTTTCTTTCGAGAACTTTAACTTATTACCAGTGTCAATAGTGAAAAGTCTTCGGACGAGAATGTTAAATCTCCCTAACTTATCTATTAACAAGAGCCAGTGCGTTTGACTATAGTCTCAGTGCTTGATAGTAAAACAAAGAGCCTCAGAATAATGAAGAATTTTTTATCTTCAAAAATTGCCGTAGTTCTGTCAAAATTCACAATTACAATAGCTCTTCCTATTTTGTGAGTAGTCGAGCTTAAACAAGAGATTTAGTCAATTTTAAATCGTAGCAGGCGATATTTTAACTGCCTCAAACAGGACACCATAGAAACTGACGGAAAATTGTAGCAAACCAGATAGCGCAACCCATGGGTAAATTCAGAATCAAATAAATTGGATGGCCATTTCCAGGAACATTGTAACTGTTGAGTTTAGCATTGACGAAACTAACATATACTGTCCCAGCACACCCCCCCCCCTCTCACACACACACACACAAATCATCGGCCATATACAGCTGATTATTGCGTTAAGCTAAGCATGTGAATAAGGAAACTTACCGCATTTGGGGTCCAAAACGTTATCTATATATCATTGACGCAAAAGAGACGGTTTCAATGTTGAATGACATAATAGATCTCTCTGATAATGCAGCCATTTTAACAGTGTTTATCATGAATGAAAGTGAATTCTGTGCGATTCAAATAAGCGCACAAAATTTCGTGCGGATACAATTTGCTTACAAAAGCTAAAAGGCCATGCAAATATTTTCTCTAGTTTTATATTTTCAACCTGAACATACATTTAATTTCAATTAAATTTATTTATAATTAAATGTGTTTATTAATTGATCTGTTCTTTTTACTTTAACGTCGTGTAAGTCGGATACAGTTAGTCGTTTTTTCTTCAAAAGTATCTTCTTACAGAAGAAGACAGTTCGCTAGGACAAACAACAATTTATCCTCGGCTTCGCCTCGGACAATTTGTTGTTTATCCTAGCAAACTGTCCTCATATGTCTGTAAGAAGACACTTTTGAAGAAAAACTCGTACTGTATCCATTACTTAGCGAAGCATAAGACAAAACAATACAAATTTAAAAGATGAGAAAAGCATGATAATAACAATTTCATATTTCGTATTCTAGTAAAACCACGATAATAACAATTAATTACACATTTAGGACACGAGTAAACCGTGAAAATAAAGATTTATATTTTGGAGACAAGTAAAACCATGATAATAACAATTACATATTTTGGACCCCAGTAAATCCATGATAATGAATGTTACATATTTTGGACACGTGTTAACCATGATAATTATAATATATTACAATTATAAATAGAAAAGATGTGGAAAAACAGGTAATTGTATAGGTACTGTCTTTGGTATACAAATCATAATTGTATAGGAACTGTCTTTGGTTTACAAATTATACTTCCGTGGCCGAGTGGTTAAGGTCGTTGACTTCAAACCACTTGCCACTCACCGCTGTGGGTTCGAATCCCGACAGAGACTTTGGATTCTTTAATGTGAGGAAGCTATCCAGCTAGCTTACGGAACGTCGGTGGTTCTACCCAGGTGCCCGTTCGTGCCTGAAATAATGCACGGAAGGTCACCTGAGGTCTTCGGCCACCAGTAAAGCTGGAACGTCGTGATATGACCTATACTGTGTCGATGTGACCTAATCAAACAAACAAAATAAGAACTGTCTGAGGACAGTAACGCTCGACTATTCGAAAAGTTATCACAAGGGTGTTTCATTGAGTATAATAATGCTTACCTATATGAATACATAAAATTGTCCGAAAAGGTACAAACCCTTCAGTAGTTATGGAGATGCCAGCTTACAAGCAAAACTTTACCTAGAATTTCTAAGTCGAAAATGGGGCATAATTATGCAAAAAAGCAAATCAAAGTTATGGGACCTGTGCCAATCATCTTAAATAATCACAGAGAACAAGTGTGTGAAGTTTCAGTCCATTCCCTTCAGTAGTTATGGAGATACCAGCTTACATGAAAAAACTTAACCAAGAATTTCTAAGTCGAAAAAAGGGCATAATTATGTAAAAAAGCAAATCAGAGTTATGGGACTTGTGCCAATCACCTGAGATAATCATAGAGATCAAGTGTATGAAGTTTAAATCCATTCCCTTCAGTAGCAGTAGTTATGGAGATACCAGCTTACACGCAAAAACTTAACCAAGAATTTCTAAGTTGGAAAAGGGCCATAATTATGTAAAAAAGCAAATCAGAGTTATGGGACTTGTGCCAATCATCTTAGATAATCATAGAGAACAAATGTGTGAAGTTTCAATCCATTCCCTTCATTAGTTATGGAGATACCAGCTTACACGCAAAAACTTAACCAAGAATTTGTAAGTCGAAAAAGGGGCATAATTATGTAAAAAGAAAATCAAAGTTATGGGACTTGTGCCAATCATCTTAGATAATCACAGAGAACAAGTGTGTGAAGTTTCAATCCATTCCCTTTGGTAGTTATGGAGATACCAGCTTACACGCAAAAACTTAACCAATAATTTCTAAGTCGAAAAAGGGGCATAATTATGTTAAAAAGCAAATCAGAGTTATGGGACTTGTGCCAATCACCTGAGATAATCACAGAGATCAGGTGTGTGAAGTTTAAATCTATTCCCTTCAGTAGTTATGGAGATACCAGCTTACATGCAAAAACTTAACCAAGAATTTCTAAGTTGGCAAAGGGGCATAATTATGTAAAAAAGCAAATCAGAGTTATGGGACTTGTGCCAATCATCTAAGATAATCATAGAGAACAAATGTGTGAAGTTTCAATCCATTCCTTTCATTAGTTATGGAGATACCAGCTTACACGCAAAAACTTAACCAAGAATTTGTAAGTCGAAAAAGGGGCATAATTATGTAAAAAAGCAAATCAAAGTTATGGGACTTGTGCCAATCATCTTAGATAATCACAGAGAACAAGTGTGTGAAGTTTCAATCCATTCCCTTCAGTAGTTATAGAGATACCAGCTTACATGCAAAAACTTAACCGCAGGGACGCCGACGCCGACAAATGGGTGACTGCATTAGCTCGATTATTCTGTGAATAGTGGAGCTTAAAAAAACATACTAATACAAACGGAAACACGTGGAAATTTTTGACATAATAACAGAGGTTAAGGAAAAGTATACATAGTATATATGAAGTAATATTTACATTTGTATGCAAGAAATTGCCCCTTATTATCTATATGGTAAATCTTCAAACCTAACACAAAACAGAAGAATGTTAAATTCAAATTCAACAGTTTTTAGTACTGTACATAATTTGTGTAATCTGTTTTTTTTCTTCTTTTTCTTGCCGTGTCATTATGTCTTTCGGTCTCAGCAGTATACCAGAGTTAATAGCATTTCATACGATATGCATGATAGATATAGTGCTAAAATGGTTTGCATGCACTTTTGTCTACTTAAATGTGCATCTCAACGTGCGATTCAAGATTTTTTTTCCTTAAAAATGATTTATCACATGTATCACATTTATAAAGTTTCTCTTTTTTGTGCCTTCGCGTATGTTTTTTCATCTCACAACTGTTGGAGCACTGGAAAATGCAATATTTGCATTCATATGTAATTTTGTTAGTATGGATATTCATATGCCTATCTCGGCTTTGAAGACCCTTAAAAGATCGATTCTTCACGTCAATGTGTATTGTCATATGTCTTTCAAGATGGTGGCTCTGAGAAAATGAACGATGGCATATTTCACATTCATGATTCTTCTCACCAGTGTGTATTGTCATATGTCTTTTAAGATTTCCACTTCGAGAAAATAAATTTTGACATATTTCACATCTATGATTCTTCTTGCCAGTGTGTACTGTCATATGTCTTTCAAGATTACTGCTAGCAGAAAATGAACGATGGCATATTTCACATTCATGATTCTTCTCACCAGTGTGTATTGTCATATGTCTTTTAAGACTTCCACTTCGAGAAAATAAATTTTGACATATTTCACATTTATGATTCTTTTCACCAGTGTGTATTGTCATGTGTTGTTTAAGATTACTGCTATGAGAAAATGAACGTAGACATATTTCACATTTATGATTCTTCTTGCCAGTGTGTACTGTCATATGTCTTTCAAGATCTCCACTTTGAGAAAATGAACTATGACATACGTCACATTTATGATTCTTCTCGCCAGTGTGTATTGTCATATGTGATTTAAGATGACCACTTAGAGTAAATGAACGGTGACATATTGCACATTGATAATTTCTCTCACCAGTGTGTACTCTCATATGTTGCTTAAGATTACTGATATTAGAAAATGAACGATGACATACTTCGCATATATTATTCTTCTCACCAGTATGCATTATCATGTGCGTTTTAAGATTACTGCTGTGCAAAGTTGAATACACACAAATTTCACATTCATGATTCTTTTCACCAGTGTCGGTTGTTTTAAGACTACTGCTATTGGCAGGTAATGATTAATCAATCATATATTTTGCATCTGAAATTTTCCTCAGCAGTTGACATTGTTATATATACTTGAAGATCACATCTACAAGGAAATGATTTAAAACACACTATATTGACTAGTGTATTTTGAGGTTACTAATTTTCTACAATGACTGATAAAATAATTCCTTCATAATTGTGAGTTCGCATTTTCCAGTATAGGAATATTCACAAACTAAAGTTTATATAGTCACTGGTTTGTAAAAATGATGTTTCAGTACAATAAGAAAATTACGAAGGAAAATAAATGATCACATGTTGCAAAGCAATAGTTTTCTTACAAGAGTGGTTTCGCATATGCTTCTACAAATCACAACATATTTCTTCACACACACATATTGTATCTGTACCTCTGCTCAATAGTGTTTTTGTTGTTGCTTTTCTGCTAATGCCACATGGTTGTCACTGTTTAAAAAGAAAGAAAGGAACAAGCAACTGTTAGTAAAAGTAAACATTTGTAAAAATCCTTTCAATACCTTATAAAAGTGCATTTAATAAATTTCATAAAAACAGAAATACATGTGTAGCGACATTTTATAATTAATTGGTTTTCATATCAACTTTGGTGTCAACACAAAGCATAAAAACCTGAAACCTCATTGTGGCTAAATCGGAAGAACAATTTCTGTTTGCATGAGAAACTCCGTCTTCTGATCACCCATACATTAATGTTAAAACAACAAACTTGGCTATTATAAGAAGCAATCATAATTAAACGGTATAAATCTGCATTGTAACTGATGTTTTAATAGAAATTTAATCTTTTTTATGAGATGATTACTAATACACTGTGAAGCTTAAACAGTTAGTGTGTTTTCACAAAAAATCTCATACATTTGTAATTCCTGTGTAATAATAAATAGCAACAATCCTTACCAAATAATGGTGATAAGTCAAATAAAGACTCAATAAAGAGTTATCTCTCTTTTATATCATTCATAATAAATATAAATATATGAGTTTATTTGACATGTAATATCCTGTTCCAGATAAGCACATCATGATTCAAATACATCTATAGCTCTTTATACATCTCCCATTATAAATATCACAAATTTTAACAAACTGTTTCTTTTAATTAAACCGTGTCGTAAGATATCGTAAATACTGTATTGTTATGGGCTATGATTACCAGTATTATGCCTGGTCTGAAAATGGCCACCATCAATTGTCAAAATGTCAACAACAAGATCATTTTTCTTTCTGTTTACGTCATATATTATGCCCAATAAACAAACTAACTTTAAAAGAAATAGCATAATTATTTTTCTAGAAATATGATTTTTATGTCATAAGCCTGATCGGGCATTTTCACCAGCCTGTTTAAAGAACGGGAACGATCATATTAAAACATATACATCATGACTCACTGCAGTGATTCAGATTGGATCTTTAGATAATTTATTTTATCTCTAAATAAGAAATGTAAACGGTGGACTGGTATGCACCGGTACCCTTTTAGGGTATCAAGCTTATTGCTGAATGACAAATATAATACACTGAGAGTTCAATACAGTTCATTTATGTAATTCGATTGCATTGTCTCAAGATAAAAATTCAGGAATTCGAAAAAATCTAGCTAAACGCCATTTTCCGGTACTTTCTGTATACGTTCAACTCTGGGGAATCCATCTAAAGGGCATGTACATGTAGTAACAATCTGTATGTTTTTGGTATTTATTTTGGATTAAACTAAAGTGTAATAAAACAATTATTTCTGAGTAAGAAAATAATAAAATATCACTGTATGAATAATTCAATACAAACAAAAAAATAAATACAAAAGTTTCTGCAGAAAATATCTCTATCTATTATGGCACATCTACATGTATGTAGCAACGACTCTTTTAATTCTACAGAATTTTATCATACTACTGTCTGAGTATAGGAAACTTTTTTTTGGAAAATGTGCGATAGATAGTACAGGAACATCAATAAATTTCAAACACATCAAGAACAAGAGCCACCGCCGGGCGGGGGCAACGCTCGACTTTTTACTTTTTCAAAACGTCAAAACGCAAACATAGAAAGGTTTGAACATATCTTAACGTTTCCTTTTTATAAATTTAGTTGGTCTGTCTTGTCACATTAGTTTTGTTTATCTATTTTATATATATATATGAATAGAAACACGCAATTCTATAAATAGAAACACGCAATTCAATAAATAGAAAGACGCAATTCTCTAAATAGAAAGACGCAATTCTATAAATAGAAACATGCAATTCTATAAATAGTAACAAGCAATTATATAAATAGTAACACGCAATTCTGTAAATAGTAACACACAATTCTATAAATAGAAACACGCAATTCTTAAAATAGTAACAGGCAATTCTAAAAATAGAAACACGCAATTATAAAAATAGAAACACGCAATTCTTAAAATAGTAACACGCAATTCTAAAAATAGAAACACGCAATTCTAAAAATAGAAACACGCAATTCTAAAAATAGTAACACGCAATTTCTAAAAATAGTAACACGTAATTCTAAAAATATTAACACGCAATTCTAAAAATAGTAACACGCAATTCTAAAAATAGAAACACGCAATTCTAAAAATAGTAATTCTAAAAATAGTAACACACAATTTCTAAAAAAAGTAACACGCAATTCTAAAAATAGTAACACGCAATTCTAAAAATAGTAACACGCAATTCTAAAAATAGTAACACGCAATTTCTATAAATAGTAACCCGCAATTCTAAAAATAGTAACACGCAATTCTAAAAATAGAAACACGCAATTCTATAAATAGTAACACGCAATTCTAAAAATAGAAACAAGCAATTCTAAAGATAGAAACAAGCAATTTCTAAAAATAGAAACACGCAATTTCTAAAAATAGAAACACCTAATTTTATAAATAGTAACACGCAATTCTAAAAATAGAAACACGCAATTTTACAAATAGAAACACGCAATTCTATAAATAGAAACACGCAATTCTATAAATAGAAACCCGCAATTCTAAAAATAGAAACCCGCAATTCTATAAATAAAAACCCGCAATCCTATAAATAGAAACCCGCAATCCTATAAATAGTAACCGGCAATTCTAAAAATAGAAACACACAATTCTATAAATAGTAACACGCAATTCTAAAAATAGTAAGATGCAATTTCTATAAATAGTAACCCGCAATTCTAAAAATAGTTATACGCAATTCTAAAAATAGAAACAAGCAATTTCTATAAATAGTAATACGCAATTTCTAAAAATAGAAACAAGCAATTTCTAAAAATAGAAACACGCAATATACGTTGTCGTTGTCGATGATGATGATGATGATCATAGATATATATATATATATATACACACACACACACACACACCAATAAATATATAATTATGGTCATTTAATGCACAAATCTGAGAAAATTCAGTAATTTAACCTGCAAGGTCAGGGTCATTAAAGAGCCCGAGCAAATTTGGGTTTGAAAAACAACAAGTTCTGTTATAATATGAAGTTGATCTCTTCAATAATAGCAAAGTTACAAAAAAAAAAACGCCAAAACAATGAAAATTTCAATAATTTGACCTTCAAAGACAATGTCATTAATGAGTGAAGGTCAAGGTCTTTCGGTATATTTTTAACAGTTATCTTTGAAGATTATTATGTTCAAGTTTCAAGACAATCCATTCAAAAATAACAAAGTTACAGCCAATAATAGACAAAAAAATGAAAATTTCAATAATTTGACCTTCAAAGTCAAGGTCATTTATGAGTGAAGGTCAAGGTCTGGCTGGTCATTTTTAAGGGATATCCTTGAAGATTATTATGTTAAAGTTTGAAGACAATCCATTCAAAAATAACAAAGTTACAGCCAATAACAGCATTAACAAGCAAAAATTGGACTTTTAACCTTGAAGGTGAAGGTCATTTATGGATGAAGGTCAAGGTTAGTGTGGTCTACTGAAAGGTCTTGTCCCAAGGGTTGTTGTGGCCAAGTATGAAGACATACACCAAGAAATAAAAAAAGTTATGATCCAGGTACAAATTTGCGGACGGCAACGGGAACGGCAACGGCAACGGCAACGCCGACCCGACTCTAACAATACCTCTACTTTCTTTTCAAAAAAAAAAAAAAAAAGTCGAGCTAAAAAATGAAAACATCACTTAATAGTGTTATGTACTTTACCACAGAGCTAAATTCGTACTGTAACGTACCGAAAAATGGTGTTTAGCTAGGTTTTCGAAAGGTCATTTTGTTCAATCGAATTTTGAGACCTAAAATATCAAACAAATTGGTTAAAAAGCAGCAATACAATACTTCAAAGACAAATGTTATCAAAAGACAATAAAATAGACAACAATTCTGTATTACAAACCTATTTCGCCAATTTTTAAGATTAATAAACTCTTCTTCCCAACAATCGTTCCAAATGGTGCAAAATTTTCAAAGGGAGTCAATCATGTCTAAACTACGAGGTATGTTCAAAAAGTTCGTGGACTTTTGCTGTCATTTTTTACTTGGTTCATAAAAACACCCTAAGTGGATATGAATCGAAAGAATGTCTTTATTTCTACAAGTAAGATTTACTTTTATTGTAAACTTATATTTCCTTAACGAGTTATGTGCACTTTAATAACCATGGCAACGCAACATCGGCGCACGCCAAAATTTTCGTATAATGTTAGAATATAAACAAATGGTGAAACAACCTGAATGATTGTTTTATGAAGTAAAATACTAGTAATCATCTACTAATATTTAAATGACATAAATCTGAAATATGACATCGTTTGGACGTTGAATAGCTGAACAGACAGGTTTTGAGTTGCAGTAGACAGACGGGCTAGTTGGGAAGTATAAAGCCCGTTTAAAAACTAGAAATTCGCTCTTTCTGAAATTTTTACCAATAAATGTGGGATAATCCTTCATATTTTTATGAGGTGATTAAATTAACAAAGAACAATGATTTGGTGAGCAAGTCTATGAGTTTCAGGTCGCGCAAGCGATTCAAATACGGCAAATACATGCTCACAGACAGAAAGGGCGACGGATAATTTTTAGCGGCAAATTGTTGGGACGTTTGTAACGTCAATTGCAAAAGATCTACAGAAGTCCAGAAGTATGAAAGGTTTGCGAGATGTCCGACATTTTTTAATTTCTGCATCGGGTCTATGGATTCAATTCTGACAAAAAATTTAATTTAATTAAAATAATATTTTATTTCATTCATCAGGATATATGCGTATCTACAACCAATGATTTTTATTTGTATTACGTGTGTTTACCCTGGTCTGTTTTATAATTAATGCTAGCCGGTGTTCAGTAGATTTACCGCATTTACCGCATAGAATAATTGTCAGTTGGTAAAATATTTTTCTTTATCTTTGATAATTATATTGTTTAAAGATCGGACGAGGGTGGTTTCAAGTTGATACTTTAAATCAACAATTGAATTGTCCGTTAAGTATCTAAATTACTCAAAAATCCCGATAAAGAGCGGAAAGTATGCGGCACTCGGACCCTTATACGGAGAATGGAGCAAAAAGATTACCACTTTATATCTTGGGTCATCATCACAAACAGAAAAATGGTTTTGATATATGTACCGCAGATATTGAACACTAAAAAGAGTACTTTCAGAAACAATGACGCTGGTAAAATGTTTCATTTATATTGCGACGTCACGAACGTCATTTTGTTTCATCATCAGCGTGCGCCGGATTGTGCACCCCTTGTGATTTGTAACTGTCACAGAATTGTTATCTGTAAACATATTGTATTGATTTTTTCAGTGTTTGTTAAGGACATATTATCATATATGTCTCTTGTAAAATCATATACGCAAATTAAAAGATGTGAACAGTAGAGCCGCAGTCCACGAACTTTTTGAACAGCCCTCGTAAATATGACTCATACATAATCGATTCGTACCGAAACCACCACAACGGCATCAACAGAGACTATAAAGTTATGGAAGACAGGGGTGACAGTGGCTTCATCGAACTACCGTATAATATTTGGTACTTTGTATAGACAATAGTCCATAATATTCTAAAGACATCTAAGTCATTGTATAAACAACTAACACAATTAGAACTGTGTCTTGACTGTTTAATTTACTAATACCAAGTGCGCTGGAGCTGCATACATTTAGGTGGGAATGCCTGTTACAGAGAATCATGGGAAGTATAGACTTGCTATAGTGATAACATAAATGAATTATAAGTACATAATTTTACATCTCCTTTGTTTTGAAAATAAAAAATAGTGAATTATTATATGTACCCTTAAAATTTTCTTAACTTATAAAGTTAGATAAATCATAACAACAAAATGAAATTATTAAGCCAATATTAGTCCATCAACCTCGATAGCCTGGTCTATCAGCTGGGGGGATCTTCTCACTGGGAAGAAAAGGCGAGGGCTTCATTTCATATTTAATTCTATATAAAATAAATATAATTGTGTCATATTTAATTCTACATTAAATATTTATTACATGCAGTTCCTTTATACTTGATTGTTAGGCTCCGCCTACTTAGTGTACTGACCAATTACTTTCATTTTATTTGACAGTCTTAGAAATAAACTCAAAGTATAAACATCTCGTATTCTCTGCATCCACAACAAATAAACAAACATAAAACAGAGATATTCATGTTTGTCCTGCTTATCTTGATATGACATGGCAATACCTTCTGCCTTGATCGTTCGATACAGCTTCTGGTTCTACAGGAAGACACAATTATAACCTTTCACCAGAACTAGGGCGACCGTATGTCTGGACCATGCACATTTTCAAATTCAACATTTCCTTTTCATTTTTTTTCAATCTTTTGATATGAATATCATCATAAACATGTCGTATATTTAACTTTTTCCCTCATAAAGACGTCTTTTGGCGGCCTTTTGTCCCACCCCTCATTTTGAGGCCTCAAACATTAAAAAAAGCTCTATTTAGACCTCATGCAAACACTGTTTTTCGTTTGAGAAATATTGTTTAAAAATGTGATCACGTTTTCAGCGCCCCCATCAAAATAATACACCAAATGGCCCGGGTTGACAGAAAGGGGATGTGCACCCTTTCTGTTTTGGGGGTTTAAATGGAGGGCGGCAGTCCTCCTCATCGCCAAGAAAATTGTGGACATGTGACAGCTCAGATCGATCTTAAGGTTTAAGTGTAACCGACGCTGAAAAGCCTTTTACTCTATCTCAATGCATTGAGAGTTGCAGCACTTTAAAAAACAGTTATGATGGGAAAAAACAATGGAAAATAGTGAGTGATTTTACGCAATTTTGAGACGTCCCACCGTTGCCATGGTAACAGACAATTTTAGATTGATCATGCTGTTACTAAAGCTATTGTCCAGCCAAGTTTTATCAGTATTGAAGCATTTTTCATAGTTCCATAGCCGTTTGAACTTGTAACAGGAGGCTTTTCAATGAAAACGGCCATTTTTCACAATATGCTCATGTGGTAAAAGGTTAAGGATTTCCATATCGGACAGATTTATATTTAAAAATTCAAACATCGACCTCGTTGAATATGTATGAATTACACATGTCCACACGAAATGATATTGATTGAGGATTAATATGCTATATTTATTATTATCTACATTGACTCATTCAATAATAAGTATAAAATAGCTAGCGTATACTAAAGGGAATAGATTGAGAAAATCTCATATGTAAAACATATTTTCATTCTGTGCTGATGCAATTATAAACTTGAAACAATTACTTTAATTGTAATAGTTTATATATAACTTAATATCATATAGATGTATTGAGGAATATTGATAATTTACATTAGTTAATTAGAATATGAAAACAAAGGAATAGCTAATAAACAATTAATGTATACATGTATTTTAATTTGCTAAAGAGACAGCATCTCAATAGAGACATAGCACAAAACCATTTCTGATATAAACTAACTCGTTAAAGAATCAAAATTGAGGAGCATTTGACAACGCAAGTCAACCAGAAGCGTGCAGTCAAAATTGAAGAATTATTTTTAACTTAAACAATCAGAAGGGTTATATTTATATTATTGTTATGTATTAAGGTATTTTATGGTATAAGGAAATATCTTTATTGACATTTTTTTTCTATAATCAATTTTACACTATCTCAACTCTGTGCTGAGTCCCTGTGATCATGTCCACCAGCAGCTCTATACCATATCGTAACGCTGCATGTAAGTCTAAGCATTCTTTAATTATAGGCAAACAAGCATATTTGTGTTATAACCATATTGACCTTGACCTTTTACTATGTCATCACCATATAAAAAAGCCTCATGTACGATTATGACGAAACGCAACATCAAATCTTATAAATGAATGTAGATCCAAGTCTTCAAGTCAAGATTAAAGTGACCTTGACCTTTCATGACCAACCTCACAATTTAAATGAATTTGGTCAAAGAGGTATTTACATGTATTAATTGGTTGGACAATTTTTTGTTTAAAGTCACACTGGCCTCGACCTTTGACCATCTAATATACATGAATATATATATAGATCTAATTAACTAATCATGACTTTCATGTATGGAAGTTATCCAGCCAGGTTTGTTTTACTCGGGTCCTTTTCTTGCATAAAAAAGAATAAAAGGGCACCTTCTTCACCTTCAAAGCTCAAAGTCACCGTAGGAACTATGGTGCGACGTTTAACCTATCCGAAACAAGATTGCATTTGAGAAAAATGCTATGCCACCGCATTAAAACAACACTAAATAGTAGTGTATGAACATATTTTTGTTGTTTCTATACAATTTTGAAGATTGTTATAATGCATAGATCCCTGACCTATCTATAATTCTTATTATCAAATTAGTGCTTAAATATGTTGTTAACTCAATAAAAGATCAGAGTAGGAATATAGGAATATATCAGTGCAATCGAATCTATTGAATTTGGTGGTAAAGGTCATATTTCACACAGCCTAAATTTCATGACTACATCAAAAGACAACACAATAAGACCCTTTGTCAAAAACTAGGTCAGCTGATATCAAAGTTCATTTTACATCTCAATATGTGCACATGGTTCAAATTTCATAGCTGTACAACTAAGGAAAAGAAAGTAAGTCACATCATCAAAATCTAGGTCACCTGATATCAAAGTTCAATTTTACAACTAAAACTGTGCACATGGTCAAAATTTTATCAAAGGACAAGAAAGTAGGTCACTGTCCCCTTGGGCATGGAAAAATTTTGGACCCAAGGTTTTAATTCAAAAAATCTTGATACAGGTCCACCAAACAACATTTCAAGTCAAATATCTAAGCTGTAGCTTTCTTCCATTCAGAAAACATTTGTTTTATTTTCTGTTTTTACTATGTGTAAATAATGAGAATCACAAATTTTGACACCAGGGGGAAATTTTGAACAACTTTGGTAGAGGACCTATAGATGATACCATATAGCAAAAATCAAAGTTCTATGTCTTGTACCGTCAGACAAAAACAATTTTTATTTTTTGACTATATGTACATAATGAAAATGATTTACCCCGGGGCGGAACAAATTTTGACCCCAGGGCTATAATTTGAACAATCTGGGTAAAGGTTCACTTCGCAAAGTCTCATGCCACATATCTAACCACAAGCCTTTGTCAATTCAGAAAAGAAGATTTTTCAATTCAGAGAAAAAGATATTTCAAGTTTTCACTTTATACATGTAAGGAAAACTATCGCCTCTGGGGCAGGGCAATTTTAACAATAGGGGCATAATTAAAACAACTTTAGTAGAGGACTCATAAATGATATTATATACCAAATATCAAAGCTCTAAGCCTTGTACCTTAATTTAGACAAGAATATTTTTTATTTTTTACTATATGTACACAGTGAAAATCAATGACCCCTGGGGGTGGGGCCAATTTTGACCCCAGGGCTATAATTTGTATAATCTTGCTAGAGGTTCACTACATAATGTTTCATACAAAATATCTAAACTCTAGCCTTTGTAAATTTAGAGAAGATGATTGTTTTTAAATTTTACTACATATAAGGAAAACCTATGGCCCTCGGGGCGGGGCTAATTTTGACACTAGAGGCAAAATTTGAACAACTTATAGGTATTATAATTTATCAAATATTAAAGGTCTAATCCTTGTACCTTCAGACAATAAGAACTTCTGATTTTTTACTGTATTTTTATATTGAAAATCAATGACCCCCGGGGCAGGGCTAATTTTGACCACAGGGCTATAATTTGAACAATCTTGCTAGAAGTTCACTTCACAATGTTTTATGCAAAATATCTAACATCTAGCATTTGTCAATTGCTAGAAGATTTTTTAAAGGTTTTTACTATAAGTTTTTACTATAAACATATAAGGAAAACCAATGACCCCGGGACGGGGCCGACTGTGACCAAAGGGCTATAATTTGAACAATCTGGGTAGAGGTTACCAGACAATGACTTATGCAAAATGTCTAAGCTCTAGACCTTTTGAGGTCTTTACAAGAAAGTATTTTAAGTTTTTACTATATGTACATAAAGTGAAATCAATGACCCCCGGGGCAGGGCTGATTTTGACCACATGGCTATAATTTGAAAAAATCTTGGTAAGGGTCTACCAGACAATGCCTATGTAAAATATCTAAGCTTTAGCTAGGCCTTTTGTGTCTTTACAAGAAGGTATTTTAAGTTTTTACTATATGTACATATAGTGAAAATCAATGATCCCCGGGGCGGGGCTGATTTTGACCCCAGGGCTATAATTTAAACAATCTTGGTAGAAATCTACCAGACAATGCCTTATGCAAAATATCTAAGCTCTAGCCCTTTTTTGTCTTTACAAGAAGATTTATTTTTAATTTATTCTAATTATTCCTTGTGGTTGCCATGATTTCTGCATGGAATGGAATTTTTTGAACAACTTTGGAAGCCCTTCACCCAAGGATCAATCCTGCTAAGTTTGGTTGAAATTGGACAAGTGGTTTTTCACAAGAGGATTTTTGAAGTTTACTATACAATCTATATAACACACACACACGCACGCACGCAAGCACGCACACACCCACACAGGTGAATCGCTATTTGCAGCGGTGGCATATAAATCCCACAAACTAACCATTACCAACTCCACATAAAATAATTTACACATTGTAAACGGCACTTACAATCAGCGTAAGCAATACAAAACTAGGCCAAAGTAGGGAGAAAAAACCTTTACTGCCTTAGTAAATACGTAGTCGAAATAATTATGGTGATAAATACTACGAAAGTATAAGTATTATTCGCACAAAACATGTAAATCAATTCTTGAATCTTTTTAACTTTTCTTAAAACCTTAGTACCCTTTTCTATCTAGTTTGATTTTCTTAAATTTTGGCTCATCTGGATGAATGCAGCTTTCAAGTAAACTAACGTCCTGTCTAGGAAAATAAAACCACAAAAGCAAGTACATATGTACATGTATAACTTCTATTTTTACAAACACATTTTATTACACAAAGCAAAAGCCCTTCCGGACAAACGCCCTCCAGTGAAGATGATAGAGCGGACAAAAAAGCCCTCTCATGAAAATTACAGGGCGGACAAAAGCCCTCCCGTGAAAGTCATCGGCGGACAAAAGCTATCTCGTAAAAATAATACGGCGGACAAAAGTCCTCCCGCGGCAATACATAAGTACGTTGAATGAATATCTGGATTAAAACTGCAGCCACTAGAGTGTTAACAAACTTTTTCTATTTTTTAGCTTCTGTGACCTTGTTTTTGACCGGTTCGAACTTGACCTAGAAATCATCAAAACAACCTTCCTGACAAATTTCCAGAATATTTTGATCAACACTGCAGCCACTAGAATGTTAACAAGCTTTTACTATTTTTAGCTCCTGTGACCTAGTTTTAGACTCGGGATAGCCCATCTTCAAACTCGATCTGTATTTCATCAAGACAAACATTCTGACAAAGTTTTACAATGATCCAATCAAAACTGTGACTGCTAGACTGTTAACAACGCAATTGTTGACAACGAACGACGCACTTCGTGGTCAGGTGAGCTAAAAACTACAAATATTTATGTAACAATCCTAATATGTTGAGTGCATTGGAAAATAGGGCTAGCCGAAAATAGCAGATATTGAACATACATATACATGTAAATATTTAATTCGGGGAGCTTTTGTCCATCTTGTTCATTTCAAGGGAGGGCTTTTGTCAGCCCGAACATTTTCACTGGAGGGCTTTTGCCCGCCCTGTCATTTTCATAGGAGGGCTTTTGTTCGTTCGTTCTTTCATTGTCACAGAAGGCTTTTGTCCGCCTTGTCATTTTTGGACGGGAGGGCTTATGTCCGTTTCCCCATAGATATAACTATATTTTATGCAACCTTAAAATCTAAAACACAAGACAAACTATAATTATTCAGATATTGTGTATGTAGGTACATTTCTGTAAGTAATGTTTTTATATGTGTGTGTTTTAATGTGTTTTATAAGGTTATCTTTGTCTACAAATGACCTATCACATGTATCACACTTAAAAGTCTTCTCACCAGTGTGAACTGCCATATGTTTTTTTTAAATAACTCCTATATGCAAATTACTAACGACATATTTCACAGTTAAAAATCTTCTTATCATAGTGCAGTTCTTTCATTTTGCTTTATATGATTATTTTTTCTAAAAATTACATGGTCACATATTTCACATTTGCAAGTTTCATAACCAGAGTGTACTTTTGCGATATGTGCTTTAAGTCTACTAAACAGTGCAAATAAAAAACCACTTATATCACACTTATGATTCCTCTCACCAATGTGTATACTCATATGTCCTTTCAGACTGTTTATCCATGCAAATGCATGATCACAAATCTCACATTTATAATTCTTTTCACCGCTGGGTAAAGCCCTATGTCTTTTTAGACTACAACAACCGGATTATCAGTGGTTTCAAATGTTGGGTTAGATAAAGAATAAAACAATCAATTAGAACAGAAACTGGTAGTCTTAAAAGTAGATAAGAGCCATGTTAACATGGCCATCCCCCGCCGAATGTGTTTGCTCATTGGAAGAATATATATGAAGTAGAGCAGAATAATTCAATTTTAAGAGGTCTTTTGGTAATGAAAACTGATGGCTGAAGTGAAAATAGATTTGAAAACTATGAGAATATTGATGGCTGAAAATAACAAAGGGCAATAACTGAAAAATAATGCAGGGTAGGCAATCATTCTTGTGTGCTGCGATCCTCCTTAATGAGATCTATCCACCTATGAAGTTTCTAGTTGATACCTCTTACACATTTTAAGATAAGCTCGAACAAAAAGTATGAAAAATAACGATACGACATAATAACTATGATGGGTAGGGTTATCACTCTTGTGCACTGCACACCTCCTGCATGAGTGAGAAATATACACCTATGAAGTTTCATGTTGATATCTCAAAGGCTTTTTGAGTTATGCTCTGGACAAAAATTAAGTTTGAAAACATAACAAAGGGCACTAACTGAAAAATTATGCATGGTAGCGTTATCATTCTTGTGCGATGCACTCTTCCTTAATGAGATCTATCCGACTGTGAAGTTTCAAGTTGATACCTCTACCACTTTTTGAGATAAGCTCCGGACAAAAAGTATGAAAACTAACAAAGGGCAATAACTGAAAACATATGCATGGTAGTGTTATCATTCTTGTGCACTGCACTCGTCCTCAATATGATCTTTCCACCTATGAATTTTCAAGTTGATACCTCAAGTACTTCTTGAGATATGCTCCAGACAAAAATCTCGGACGGAAGGACGGAAAGACGGACGGAGACTATTTCTATATCTATTTCTATAAAAGTGGGGTGGTTTTAAATGTAGATCACGTTACCATTAAATTAAAGAACAGAAAATTCAGTTCTTAAAAAAATTGGTCTTAATAGAGGGGTGGTCTTAAAAATCCAGGGATGTCTTAGGTATGAATTCTACAATTATCTAATTTTGAATAGAAGGAATTAATACAATCTTTAAATTATATAAATATTATTATCAGAACATGATAATACATTTATTTTTAAAGTTTACAGTTATAGTGAAAAATTCAAGGGTTATTTCATAGACATGGATACTAATATGTTGTTTATATAATTATCTTTATGTGTAAATAACACACATATACAACTTATATATTCAACTCAATGTTTTTTTGGCTTTAACAAATAACATACATACAATGTTCATCCTCAATACATGTAGTATTAGCGCAGCATAAGACAAAATAATGCATATTTAAAACATGAGAAAAGCATGATAATAACAATTACATATTTTGAATTCTAGTAAAACCATGATAAAAACAATTAATTACATATTTAGGACACGAGTAAACCGTGAGAATAAAGATTTATATTTTGGAGACAAGTAAAACGATGATTATAAAAATTACATATTTTGGACCCCAATAAATCCATGATAATAAATATTACATATTTTGAACATGTGTTAACCATGATAAATACAATTATAGATACAGTTACTGTCCATGGTGTTCATATTGGTGTTGATAATTGAATAGGTACTATCTTTGGTATACAAATCACACTGTATAGGTACTCATCTTTGGTTTACAAATTATACTTCCGTGGTTAAGGTCGTTAACTTCAAACCACTTGCCCCTCACCGCTGTGGGTTCGAATCCCAACAGGGACTTTGGATACTTTAATGTGAGGAAGCTATCAAGCTAGCTTACGGGACGTCGGTGGTTCGACTCGGGTGTCCGTTCGTGCCTGAAATAATGCACGGAAGGGCACCTGAGGTCTTCCTTAATCACATAGGAACTCGAGACCGGGACCGCAGATTGCGGCGCACATTTTCGATCGTGTAACGGTTTTTTAAACGTTTCTGCTACATCTTAATATCTTAAAGTATTATCCGAGTATATGGCCTCAAAAAATATATTATCAATTGAATCCAATTCGTCTCTTTCAAAACTGGTCAATTTTTACGGTATTATAAAAAAGACAAGGAGTGCCATCCGCCATTCGCCGCAACGTTTTCGGCATGAGTTTTTCCCCTTTGGCTACAATTGATTACTATTTTTTTTCAGAATTTTGTTCCCGTTATTTTTGTCAACTATCAGGTATCAGCCGGATATAACGTTCACGGTTTATTGATTACACGTGTTGACATGTATAGGCGGCATTATAACGGGCGTATTCGTGTTTTGATTTGTAAACATGGAGAAAACAGACACTTCAGTAATATGGTCCAACTGATTTTGCCTAACTGAAAAAATGAATATTAAAACATGATCCATAGATAAATATTTTAGGCACTCATCTGGTATTCGTTACTAGAAAATGTGAAAGTTTTCCATGTATTGAGTGACATAAAGAGAGTAATAGAAAAATTAAAACAAAAAATCAAGCATATCAAGGGGGATAACTTACGCCGAACGTTGCGGTAAATGGCGGATGTCACTCCTTTTCTTTTTTCAATATACCGTAAAATTGACTGATTTTTAAATTAGCAGATTATATTAAATTGAGATTAGATAATTAAAGACCACCCGCCTGCATAATATGAAAATATATTCAAAGGTCGGACAAACAATATGTAAAACCGGTAAGGATTCGGATTTATGCACCGCAATATGTGGTCCTGTTCTAGAGTTCCTATGCCTTAATCAGTAAAGCTGGAACATCGCGATATGACCTATGCTGTGTTGGTGTGACGTAAACCCCAATCAAATAAACAAAAAAAACAATTCATACTATTAACTAATACAAATGGAAAAACCAGGAAATTGTGACACAATAAGAGAGGTTAAAAAAGTATACACAGTATATAAAGTAATATTTACATTTGTATGCAAGAAATCGCCACTTAATATCTATATGGTAAATCTTCAAACCAAACACAAAACAGAAGAATGTTAAATTCAAATTCAACAGTTTTTAGTACTGTACATAATTTGTGTAACCTGTTTTTTCCTTCTTTTTTTTGCTGTGTCATTATATGTCTTCCGGTCTCAGCAGTATACCAGAGTTAATAGCATTTCATACGATATGCATGATAAATAAAGTGCTAAAATGGTTTGCATTCATTTTTGTCTACTTAAATGTGCATCTCAACGTGCGATTCAAGATCTTTTTTCTTTAAAAATGATTTATCACATGTATCACAATTATAAAGTTTCTCTTTTTTGTGCCTTCTCGTATGTTGTTTCATCTCACAACTGTTGGAGCACTTGAAGATGCAATATTTGCATTTATATATAATTTTATTAGTATGGATATTCATATGCCTATATCGGCTTTGATGACCCTTAAAAGATCGATCGTTAACGTCAGTGTGTATAGTCATATGTCTTTTAAGATTACTGCTCCGAGAAAATGAACTATGACAGATTTCACATTCATGATTCTTCTCACCAGTGTGAATTGTCATATGTTTTTTAAGATCTCCACTTCGAGAAAATGAATTATGGCATATTTCACATTTATGATTCTTCTCACCAGTGTGTATTGTCATATGATTTTTAAGAGAACTGCTATGAGAAAATGAACGGTGACATATTTCACATTTATGATTCTTCTCACCAGTGTGTATTTTCATATGTTGTTTAAGATTACTGCTATTAGAAAATGAATTATGACATATTTCACATTTATGATTCTTCTCACCAGTGTGAATTGTCATATGTTGTTTAAGAGAAGCCCTCTGAGAAAATAAACGATGGCATATTTCACATTCATGATTCTTCTCACCAGTATGTATTGTCATATGTTTTTTAAGATTACTGCTCTGAGAAAATGAACGGTGACATATTACACATCTAAGACTATGATTCTTCTCACCAGTGTGTATTGTCATATGTCTTTTAAGATCTCCACTTCGAGAAAATGAATTATGACATATTTCACATTTATGATTCTTCTCACCAGTGTGTATTGTCATATGTTTTTTAAGATCTCCACTTCGAGAAAATGAACTATGACAGATTTCACATTCATGATTCTTCTCACCAGTGTGTATTGTCATATGTTGTTTAAGATTACTGCTATTAGAAAATGAATTATGACATAATTCACATTTATGTTTCTTCTCACCAGTGTGAATTGTCATATGTTGTTTAAGAGAAGCCCTCTGAGAAAATAAACGATGGCATATTTCACATTCATGATTCTTCTCACCAGTGTGTATTGTCATATGTTGTTTAAGAGAAGCCCTCTGAGAAAATGAACGCTGGCATATTTTACATTCATGATTCTTCTCACCAGTATGTATTGTCATATGTGTTTTAAGATGACTACTTCGAGTAAATGAACGGTGACATATTGCACATTGATAATTTCTCTCACCAGTGTGTATTGTCATATGTGTTTTAAGATTACAACTTTGTGAAAATGAACGGTGACAAAGTTCACATTTATAATTCTTCTCAACAGTATGTATTTGCATGTGCGTTTTAAGACTTCTTCTGTGCAAAGTGGAATATTCACACATTTCACATTCACAATTCTTTTCACCAGTGTATTTTTTCATGTGATTTTTAAGATGACATTTGTGTACACATATTTCACATTCATGATTCATATCTTCAGTGTGTATTGTTCTTTGTGTTTTAGGATGACTACTTTGCGAAAACGAACGGTGGCATATTGCATTTTCATAATTCCTTTTACCAGTGTGAATTGTCATATGTGTTTTCAGACTACTGCTATCCGCAAGTAAGCAATCACATATTTTGCATCTGAAATTTTCCTCAGTAGTCAACATTGTTATATATACTTAAAGATTGAATCTAAAAGAAAATGATTTAAAACACACTGACACACACTATTGACAAGTGTATTTTGAGGTTACTAATTTTCTACAATGATTGATAAAATAATATCTTCATAACTGTGAGTTCGCATTTTCCAATACAGGAATATTCACAAACCAAACTTAAAGTCACTGGTTTGTAAAAATGATGTTTCAGTACAATAAGAAAATTACGAAGGAAAATAAATGATCACATAATTTGCAAAGCAATAGTTTTCTTTCAAGAGTGGTTTCACACATGCTTCTACAAATCACAACATATTTCTCCACACAAACATATTGTATCTGTACCTCTGTTCAACAGTGTTTTTGTTGTTGTTGTTGTTGCTTTCTCCTGGTACCACTAGCTTGTAACTATTTAGATAAAAAGAAAGGAACAAGCAACTGTTAGTAAACATTTGTAAAAATATATATTTACTTAGTGGAAATTATGTTAATCCTTTAATAATAAAGGTGCATTTATTCAATTTCATTAAAAACAGAAATAGCGACATTTTATAAATAAATAAATTGGTTTTCATATCAACTCTAGATCTTACTTGGTGTCAAGACAACCAAAGCATAAAAATCTGAAACCTTATTGTGGAAGTTCAATTTCCGTTTGCATGAGAAACTCCGCCCTCTGATCATCCATACATCAATATTAAAACAACAAATATGGCTATCTGCATTGTAAGGGATGGTTTAATACAAATTTAATCTTTTTATGAGATTATTACTAGTAAATGCACTGTAAAGTTTAAACAGTCAGTGTGTTAAAAAACTGTTTGCACAAAAAGTCTCATACATTTGTATTTGCTGTGTAATAATAAACAGTAACAATCCTTACCAAATAATGGTGATAAGTCAAATAAAGAGTTATCTCTCTTTTATATCATTCATAATAAATATACATATATGAGTTTATTTGACAGATAATACCCTGTTCCAAATAAACACATCATGATTCAAATACATGCAAAGATTTTTATACATCTCCCATCATAAATATCACAAATTTTAACAAACTGTTTCTTTTTAATAACTTTTGCCGTAATATATCTTGAATACTGTATTGTTATTGGCTCTGATTACCAGTATTCTGCCTGGTCTGAAAATGGCAACCATCAATCGTCAAAATGTCAACAACAATACTAAGAGCAAACTTTTAGTTTTATCATTTTTCTTTCTGTTTATGTCATCTATTATACACAATAAACAAACTAACTTTAAAAGAAATAGCATTATTATTTTTTTAGAAATATGATTTTTATGTCATAAGCCTGGTCAGGCATTTTCACCAGCCTGTTTAAAGAACGGGAAAGATTATATTAAAACATATACATCATGACCTACTGCAGTGATTCAGATTGGATCTTCAGACAATTTCTTTTATCTCTAGATAAGAAATATATACGGTGGACTGGTATTCTGATTCCCTTTCAGGGTATCGAGCTTATGGCTGAATGACAAAGATAATACACTGAGAGTTCAATACAGTTCATTTATGTAATTCGATTGTATTGTTTGCATTGCTCACGTGAAATCTTAAAAGATAAAATTTACGAATTCGAAAATCTAACTAAACACCGTTTTCCGGTACTTTCTGTACACATACAACTCTGGAGAATCCACCTAGAGAGCATGTAGTAACGACTTGAATGTTTTTGGTATTTTTTTGGATAAAATTAAAGTGTAACAAAACAATTATTTCTTTGTAAGAAAATAATTAAATATCACTGTATCAATAATTCAATACAAAATAATAAAGTAAATACAAAATTTTCTGCAGAAAATATCTCAATCTATTATGGCAGATGCAACAAAGACTGTTTTAATTCTACAGATTTTTATTATTTTTTGGAAAATTTGCGATAGATAGTACAGGAACATTAATAAATTTCAAACACATCAAGTTTTTTTCCACCGTAAACGGTAAAATAATGGTAGAAAAATGGAAACATCACATAATAGTGTTATGTACTTAATTGGGTGCAATTCCCCAGAGCTAAATCCGTAACGTACTGGAAAACGGTGTTTAGCTCGATCGAATTATACGATCGAATTCTAAGACCTAAAATATCAAACAAATTGGTTCAAAAAGCAGCAATACAATACTTCACAGACAAATGTCATCAAAAGACAATAAAATAGACAACAATTCTGCATTACAAACCTCTTTGCCAAATTTTGAGACCAAAAAACTCTTCTTTCCAAAAAACGTTGAACAATCGTTACAAATGGTGCAAATTTTCAAAGGGAGTGAATTATGGATAAACTAGATATGATTCATACATAACCGCTTCGTACCGAAACCACCACAACGGCATCAACAGCGACTATAAAGTTCTAGAAGCCATGGTTGAGAGTGATTTCGTCGAACTATCGTTGAATAAGTTGAATTGTAAACAAATATGTTATCTTGTGTTGAGATATATAGATTAATCTTTTATAAATAAGTAATAAGTACATAAAAATTAAATGATTAGATTTAACAACTTATCTGTAGCAATTATTTGATATAACGGGCATATTTTTGTTATTTGTAAAATATCAGGGCAATTCGTACCGAAAATCATTCGTACTCAATGTCATTCATACCAATATTCGACCCATTATCAATATCTCTTGGATGCTTGATTTCTTCAACTTCAGTAAACGACCATTAAATATAACTACGTTATTGGGTATAAATAGAGCTCAAAGCTGCGGACAGTCAGTCTCTGTCCAGCTGCCGAAGTGTCAACACCACAGAATTAATTAATTAATATTTTAGTTTAATTACTTGGGTTCTTGCACTATTTACGAAGTATTTCAATTGCATCAATTTAACATTGCGTTAGGTGTAATTGTTATTACTAAAGTATTGAAAATTTCTATATCCAAGTGTTTTTTCTATATATATTAAATAGCCTAAAAAGTGTCACCCCAATTTTATATCCAGTTCAAGGACCACTTATTATCTTTCAAGCACATTACTGTTATAACATTAGTTAATTAAACTTGATTCCAAAGTTTGAACAAATTATTGTATAATCATTTGTAACCAATCAACTGGCAAAGTAGCCATAAGAAAAATTATATATAACAGCTAGCCCGTGCACGTTACAAAGTCTTGTCAAGGGATTCTGAGAAATGTTGATCAGCATGTGTAGTTGTGCACCTGGGTATTTTCGTCTGGATAGTTTTAGTAGTTTAAGACTTATTGCCCTTGACTTAGTAAAATTTTGCAATTTTGAACTTGTGTCGCATGTAACTCAAAAAGGATTTGACATAGTCATTAAACCTTACTGGAAGGTTGCTCAGCATATTTAGTTTTGCACCTGAGGTTTTGCTTGTGGATTTATCCAGTATTTGTAGTTATTACCCTTGACTTAGTAAAAACCGTTTCATTATGTTGTTATTTGTTCCTAATGTGTGCTTGAGTTAGAATCAACCAACTTTACAGGAATAACGATCAACATCACTAAATTACTGGAATAATGATTCACATCACTGTGAAGCTATATATGCACCTGGGACTTTGCATGTGGATTTTTTTTCAGTTTTGTTGCCCTTAACTTACAGTAGTATAAATTTGCAATTTTCAACTTGTTCATGCATAGCTCAAAAGGTATTTCATTTGTAGGCCTGAAAGTTTACAAGAATGTTGGTCAGCATGTGTACTTATGCACCTTGGGGTTTGCTTGTGGATTTATGTTAAGTTCTTGCCCTTTACTTAGTAAAAGATTTTTATTTTTCAAAATTTTTTTGACCTAGAGTCATAAGATTGACAGAACAGTGGCGCGGTGGGGGCACCCGTGTCCTATGGACACATTTCTTGTTCTATTTCTAAGTCACACTGGCCTTGACCTTTGACCATCTAATATACAAAAAAATATATATAGATCTCATTCACTAATTATGACTTTCATGTATGGAAGTTATCCAGCCAGGTTTGTTTTACTCGGGTGCTTTTCTTGCATAAAAAAGAATAAAGGGGCACCTCTGGTCTTCCTTATTCACTTTCAGAGTCACCGTAAGAACTATGGTGCGACGTTTAACCTATTCGAAACAATATTGCATTTGAGAAAAATGCTATGCCACCGCATTAATACAACACTAAATAGTAGTGTATGAACAGATTTTTTTTGTTTCTATACAATTTTGAAGACTGTCATAATGCATAGATCCCTGACCTATCTATAATTCTTATTATCAAATTGGTGGTTAAATCTGCTGTTAACTCAATAAAAGATCAGAGTAGGAATATATCAGTGCACTCGAGTTTATTGAATTTGGTGGTAAAGGTCATATTTCACACAGCCTAAATTTCATGACTACATCAAGGGACAACACAGTCAGACACTTTGTCAAAAATCTAGGTCAGCTGATATCAAAGTTCACTTTACATCTAAATCTGTGCACATGGTACAAATTTCATAGCTGTACAACAAAGGAAAAGAAAGTAAGTCACATCTTCAAAATCTAGGTCACCTGATATCAAAGTTCAATTTGACAACTAAAACTGTGCACATGGTCAAAATTTCATCAAAGGACAAGAAAGTAGGTCACTGTCCCCTTTGGCAAGACAAAATTTTAAACCCAAGGTTTTTATTCAAAACAAGCTTAATACAGGTCCAAAAAACAACATTTCAATTCAAATATCTAAGCTGTAGCTTTCTCCCATTCAGAAAACACTTGTTTTATTTTCTGTTTTTACTATGTGTACATAATGAGAATCACAAATTTTGACACCAGAGGGAAAATTTGAACAACTTTGGTAGAGGACCTATTGATGATATTATATAGCAAACTATCAGAGTTCTATACCTTGTACCTTCAGACAATTTTTTTTAAAATTTTTTGACTATATGTACATTATGAAAATCAATTACCCCGGGGCGGAACAAATTTTGACCCCAGGGCTATAATTTTAACAATCTTGGTAAAGGTTCACTTCGCAAAGTCTCATGCCATATATCTAACCACTAGCCTTTGTCAATTCAGAAAAGAAGATATTTCAATTCAGAGAAAAAGATTTTTTCAAGTTTTTACTTTATAAATGTAAGGAAAACTATCGCCTCTGGGGCAGGGCAATTTTAACACTAGGGGCATAATTAAAACAACTTTAGTAGAGGATATTATATACCAAATATCAAAGTTCTAAGCCTTGTACCTTCAGACAAGAGGATTTTTAATTTTTTACTATATGTACATAGTGAAAATCAATAACCCCTTGGGGTGGGGCCAATTTTGACCTCAGGGCATTAATTTGTACAATCTTGCTAGAGGTTCACTACATAATGTTTCATGCAAAATATCTTAACTCTAGCCTTTGTAAATTTAGAGAAGATGATTTGTTTAAGTTTTTACTATATACACATGTATAAGGAAAACCTATGGCCTTCGGGGCGGGGCTAATTTTGACACTAGAGGCAAAATTTAAACAATTTTGGTAGAGTACCTATAGATGTTATCATTTAACAAATATTTAAGCTCTAAGCCTTGTACCTTCAGACAATAAGAATTTTTGATTTTTTACTATATGTATACATTGAAAATCAATGACCCCCCGAGGCGGGGGCAATTTTGACCCCAGGGCTATAATTTGAACAATCTTGCTAGAAGTTCACTTCACAATGTTTTATGCAAAATATCTAACATCTAGCATTTGTCAATTGCTAAAAGATTTTTTTTAAAGTTTTTACTATAAGTTTATAATATATACATATAAGGAAAACCAATGACCCCGGGGCGGGCCGATTGTGACCCAAGGGCAATAATTTAATTTGAACAATCTGGGTAGAGGTTTACCAGACAATGACTTATGCAAAATGTCTAAGCTCTAGACCTTTTGGGTCTTTACAAGAAGGTATTTTAAGTTTTTACTATATGTACATATAGTGAAAATCAATGATCCCCGGGGCGCAGGGCTATTTTTGACCTCAGGGCTATAATTTGAACAATCTTGGTAAGGGTCCACCAGACAATGCCTATGCAAAATATCTAAGCTCTAGGCCTTTTGGGTCTTTACAAGAAGATCTTTTAAATTTATTCTTATTATTCCTTTTGGTTGCCATGGCAACCAGATTTCTGCATGAAATGAACAACTTTGAAAGCCCTTCACCAAAGGATCAATCCTGCTAAGTTTGGTTGAAATTGGACGAGTGGTTTTTCACAAGAAGATTTTTAAGTTTACTATATCATCTGTATAAAACAAACACACACGCACGCACACACGCACGCACGCACACACACGCACGCACGCACACACACACACACACACACACACACAAACACACACAGGTGAATCGCTATTTGCCACCTCATCGCATATGCTACGGCGGCATATAAATCCCACAAACTAACCATTACCAACTGCACATAAAATAATTTACACATTGTAAACGGCACTTGCAATCAAAGTAAGCAATACAAAACTAGGCCAAAGTAGGGAGAAAAAAACCTTACTGCCTCAGTTAATACGCAGTCGAAAATAATTATGGTGATAAATACTACTATTTTTAGCCCTTTGTGACCTTGTTTTTGATCTTCGAACTTGACCTAGAAATCATCAAAACAACCTTCCTGACAAATTTCCAGAATATTTTGATCAAACTGCAGCCACTAGAATGTTAACAAGAGCCATGTCAACATGGCCATCCCCCGCCGAATGTGTTTGCTCATTGGAAGAATGTATATGTAGTAGAGCAGAATAATTCCATTTTAAGAGGTCTTTTGATAATGAAAACTGATGGCTATAGTGATTACAGATTTGAAACCTATGTGAATACTCATGGCTGAAAATAACAAAGGGCAATAACTGAAAAATAATGCAGGGTAGGTTATCATTCTTGTGTGCTGCGTACCTCCTCAGTAAAATCTATCCACCTATGAAGTTTAAAGTTGATACCTCAAATACTTTTTGAGAAAAAAATTGAATTGAAAAATTAAGTATGAAAATAACAAAGGGCAATAACTCAAAAATTATGAAAGGTAGAGTTATCATTCTTGTGCACTGCACACCTCCTGAATTAGATCTATGTACCTATGAAGTTTCATAATGATATCTCAATGGCCTTTTGAGTTATGCTCTGGACAAAAATTAATTTTGAAAAATAAAAAAAGGGCAATAACTAAACAATTATGCAGGGTGGAGTTATCGTTCTTATGCACTGCACTCCTCCTTAAAGAGATCCATCCAGCTATGAAGTTTCAAGTTGATACCTCAAATACTTTTTGAGATAAACTCTGGACAAAATAGTATGAAAAAGAACAAAGGGCAATAACTCAAAAATTGTACAGGGAAGAGTAATCATTCTTGTGCACAGCAATCCTCCTCAATAAAATCTATTCACCTATGACATTTCATGTAGACATCTCAAACACTTTTGAGTTATGCTCTACTCGGGTGAAAAATTAGGTATGAAAAATAACAAAGGGCAATAACTCAAAAATTATGAAAGATAGAGTTACCATTCTTGTGCACTGCACACCTCCTGAGTGAGATCTATGCACCTATGAAGTTTCATTTTTATATCTCAAAGGCTTTTTGAGATATGCTCTGGACAAAAATTAATTTTGAAAAATAACAAAGGGCAATAACTCAAAAATTATGCAGGGTAGAGTTATCATTCT